ATTACTTAAATATAATGTAGAAACGTAGTAATCAGAAACAGGTAACAGCATTAGAGTATAATAAATATGGAAACATGTTTTAGTGTGTGTTATGGAAATGTTCATAATATGAATATGTAGTGCATTGTTCACAATATAATATGTAGTGCATTGTTCACAATATAATATGTAGTGCATTTATTAAAGTGAGTTTAGAAGACTAACGGCCTGTGGGAAGAAGCTCTTGCTCAGTCGTGTAATACTTGATCCAAAGAAAAAGACGATCTTTTTGTAGGCCTGATTAACAAAATGTATAGTCAATATTGAGACGGAGGGGTAGGCTATACATAGTTACAATATGCACACGAGTCTCTGATTGACCATCCCTTCAGTTGGACTTCAAAGCACAGTTTGAAGAACACTGGCACACGGACTGAAGTGAGGTAAATAATTAAAATGTAGGTACTGTATACTGTACATATTTTTACTCGCTGCATCAGCGCATGCTCCCCAACCTGACCTGAACTGACATGTTTATAATATTAATAAATCTGGTCTGCAGACTGATCTCTCGTTTTCCACACAGTGAAAAGCAGTGTAACATTACTCTGCCAATAAATGCTGGAAAGATTCAACAGCGGTGATATTAAACAAGACTGCATCAGTTATAGATTGAGTTTTTCGATGTTAAAGCCCCCCCCCCAAACAAAGAAAAAAAACAGGACTAATGACTCCTGTGTGGAAGAGACTGAAGTGAAATCATTAAGCATTATAAGCTAAATGTCATCATATCAGACTTCTTGTGTACATTTTTGTGTAGTTTCTACCAAATGACAGTTAATGAAATGCAGTGATTTTATGTTTACATAAACGTTACAAAAGAGCATGTGAGTTTTTTAACATGCCCTGTGAATCACACCTTGTACTCCATGTTCTGCTTGACAATGTTCTTTTGTATACAGTACTTTATGTAGTTCATTACAGTATTTTGTAAAATTATGTGAAGTTTGCATATAGAATTTGCAGTTAAGTTTTGACAATGTAATTTGTGCTTTGTGGTTTTATTTGAACTGCGCTATTCTGTATAGTACTTCTGTGCACTGTATGCTCAAAGTGTTTGCTGAAAATTTTTTAGATTTTATTGTTCACTGAGTTCACTTAGTTTACTATTCCTTACTGTAAAAATTGTAGCTTTATGAATTTTATGCTATTGGTTTTGTAATTAGGTATAAAAGATATACAATCAACTACCCCTATTTGGTCAACACAGAACATTAAATTGTGTTAACATTTAAATACAATTTGAGCCCCTATTAAGAGCACATCAACATAACTCAGTTTTAAAAAAAAAAAAACTTTTTAGGGCCAGTGGTCCCTAAACATTTTTAAGTTGGAGAAGCCAGAATTTTTTTACAGTGTATGACGGTCGACATAGGGGATATGTCAATTTGACACAGGAGTTGCCAAAGTCAGCATTTATGACAGCTATAAAAGTTGGAACGAACCTTCATAAATGCTTTTGTAAAGTTATGTCGGTTGTCATGAAGGGCTTATGATGGTGCAATGTAGCCTTATTAAGGAACACCGTTAAGTAAAGTCTTAGCAGGATAATTCACTTACATAGTGCCACTGAAAGCTAAAAGAGACATGAAGTAATGAGTTAAACTTGTCTGCTTGCTCTCCTCTTCACAGAATCAGTGAACCCTTCCAAAACTCCCACCCTGCATGCTTTAAGGTATTGAGGCTTTAAGTATTGTGGAATGTGCTGGTGGAGCCAGTTCATCTGGCTGAGGATAACTTTACCCAACAGAGAAGCCTCGCGATTTTGCAGTATTCTTCCTTAAGATGTTTCTGTTGTATCTGTAAGTCCCTCATTAGATGTGTCGTATTAAAGGCCGTTCTGTGGCCACCTGTTGGAACTCCTCAATCCGCGGGAAATGAAATAAATCGCCAGTTTGTCAGTTTTGTCTGAATACGGTTCGTCCTACCTGGTGAGGAGTGATGAAAATATATTTTAACTCGCAAAAACACATTCACGGCGGGCTTTGTTTGGGTTTTGAATGTGTTAGGCTATCAATTCTATTATGGAGGAGTATGCGATGCAAAAATATTAAGAAATATCATAAAAGCACTTTTCAATTTACAGCTACGAAGAAAATGTGTTCTTGTCTAATGCCGTTTTATTACTGACATGGCCACAGTTATTATGGAGCAAATACAATTTACAAATATATAATACAACTTATTTTGATGACAGTTATAAACAAAACATCCACTGAAGACTATCGACTAACAGTGCTGATCTCCGTTTCTCGGAAAGACGATGGCTTTTGCAATCGATGATCAATTTTATTTCCAAATTACTTTTAAAGCTTGCCGTAGTTCATTAGCAGTTTTGGTGCTCGCTTTTTGTCGGACCCCTGGAGATACAAAAGAATAACACAGCGCTTGGGTACTGATCGTTATCTTTCAGGAAACAGAATTTGCGAACCTCCACAGAACTGTGAAGCGTGTCAGCACCTCATGGAAGAGGTAAGTGCAAGATATGGCTGACTATAGTCTGATTGACGTCCTTTTCCTCCGCCTGAATGCTAACATTTCGCCGCCACACTTGATTAACCGGAGACCTGTATAATATTCTTGTTGCAGTTCAGGCCTACGACCAGCAAGGGACAATGGTGCCCGAATTGTGTAGCGATTGGTTGTTGAAAGATTTCAGGAACAAATCCAAGGAGATGAGGAAGCGTAGAGAAGTACTTGGCATTCACAAAAGGAAAAAATAGATACATTTTATCGTAATTATGAGTTACTATTTAACAATTACAAAATCGGGATCTCCATTTTTTCTTTTATGAATGCAGTATGCATCTGCAGCAATGCATTAACGTAGATGATGATCTGTTTCTGTCAATAATATGTCTGAGACATTAAATGCTCCTAATATGCTGCTGTTCGTATTTATGGCAACGTCAAGAAGTCTAAATCCATGGTTATCTACATTCTCAACATTAAGGTCCACCTATTTATCAGGGCATGTTGTCAAGGCCCACTAGGCCACGTTAGATGGCATTTAATAACCAAGTACCGATTCATGTTTCCAGAAATGTCATTTAATTGGCACAGAAACAAAATTCACCTTCAGACACAGAAACTATAACTTATCGATAACTCAAAAGCTTTAACAAGAACAGTCCCAAAAATGCAGAGTGAGCTTCCAGCAGCCTTTCCTGTGTTCAGAACAACCCGGCAAATACCGATTAAAAATCAAGTTAAAGGTAACCGTAACTGAGCAAACTTTTATTGAATACCCCATTCCTGAACAATAATAACAGTATTAACTTTTTGCATCTTCATATGATGACGATGGTCGTATGACTCGGCGTGGACACCGTTCACAGATTATTCCAGATTCTATTCATCTGCAACACTTTACTATAAATTTAAGACAAAATAACGTCATTATTTATTTTCCAAAAAAATTCCGGGTAGCCAGCTACTCAAGCATGGTAAAGTGATTGTATTTTTAAGTGAGCATTTTAAGTGCTGCATTTGAAAACAGCGCTCGGTCGCTTTTTTTACCCTTCGTAAAGTAATGGTGTTTCCTGAACGTCCCACATGCACATACACCGTGCTGGTGGCCCTTTACGGACCAGCAATCTCTCCCGGTTTTAGATTTGCGGCCCACACAACGGCGTCCGCGGCTAGTGGTTGAGAAACCTGGGTCTAAACGTGCTGTCTCTTTAATTCCGTTCTTTTTTATTATTAATGAAGTAGACATTTTATTCGGCATGAAACACATTATATGCAGATTCTTACAAAAAATCGAGCATGACGTGTAAACGTAGGTCTAATTATAGCCTTTGAAAAACTTGAAAATAAGATCAAATAAATGAAACAGCTAAGGGGTACATTCTAATAATTTTGATGCATCAGTAATATTCAGTTATTTCTTTGCTTTTTTTCTTTTGAATAAATTTCAGTGATTTGTAATACACTTTTTTATGAAGACAACCAATAAAGGTTGTCTTACTGCATTTACATTTATGGATAAAAAACGTCCCTAAATTAAATAACGTATTTAACAGAAATTCAATTTTCTTATCCACCCACGATCCCAAGTGTAATATCATTTCCACTAAACCGAGGGAGAGAAAAAGATTTTTGATTCAAGCCAGTCATTGATGTGGCTTTATTCTGTTCTCTTGCCTGTGTGTTTGCGGAACGGGCAGAAACACGCGTCTCTTCCTGAGGCTGAAGCACTTCGTCTGGAGGGACATTCCTTTCAGTCTACTGCTGCCTTCCGGCATTGAGGACAGTGGTACGTGCCGCGTCCCTTTCGCGCCGGTCGGAAGGGAGACTCATCGCGTCCTCCCCGTTCAGTTACCTTTTTAGTCGAAAGACTAGCTTCTCAAGCTGCATTTGAATACATCTCTGACTCGTGGAGTCAAGTCATCCGTGCCTGATCCGCACCTTTGGTGTTCGAGGAACACGAGTTGAAGATTTCATACCAATGCGACCCTGGTGATCTGCCTCCGATAAGGTCCACAATGCACCATTATATCTATACTCCCCCAGAGGACACACTGAAGATGATTTTGAGTGCCATGTCGAGCTTTGACATGCCTGAATAGTCGGACAGGTAAGTCCTACCAAGCGTAACCCGATTAGTTCACTGGCTAATCCCCTGATTTGACATTAGCAGCGGTCCCTGTACTCTTAACTGTGTTTTAGTATTACTGCACTGTAAATTAATCTTTATAGGGCTACACCTGGGTGAAAGCTGGTCATTATCAATCCATCCATCTTTTAAACCACTATCAGGCACAAAGCAGGGAAACGCCCTACTAGGGATGCCAGTCCACCGCAGGAAGCCTGGTGTCCTAGTACTACTGTACTACTATACTACTGTACTACTATACTACTGTACTACTATACTACTGTACTACTGTACTAGTGGTTTTATTCATTCTGAAAATGTTCTTATATACAGCCCAGTAAAATGGCCGGTAGCTTGACAGCAGGTATTCACCCTGCATTGTGGGTGGATATTGGACGGAGATTGGATGGATTTTTAATGTGTCTGCGGACTGGACTGCAGAAGATGCGTAGTTGTTGGGAATGAATATGGAGTCAAGGGCACCATCCTGGGGGGCACCATCAACCAGTATGATGGGGTTTTCAGGTAAACACGAACCAGAGTGAGTGTGTGTGCAGGGTCATGGTGATGTGGAGCCCCCAGGGTGTGTAAAGTCACAATTCAAGCCACCCCTGGGGTCAGCAGCATCTTGTTCTGTCAGGTATACAACTCTTACATTGTTGTCTTAACAATGCAGTGCTGCGAAACTACAAAGCACTTTGTCACCAAAGGTTCTTTACTAATATGTACAGGTAAAAAGTCACTATATCAGTTGTTCACTATATGTTTACTGTCTGTGCAGGACCTGTGAAATTTCATATGCATTCATGTGTTCCCTTTGGGATGGATGTTGTGATTTCAGAGGATCATGGAGCTCGAGTCCAGTGCTGAACCTCCTATATTCTTGTATGTGGATGAAGCTGGTTTCAATCTGGCCAAGACCAGGAGGCGTGGGAGGAATATCATTGGGCAACGAGCAACAGTGCAGATACCAGGGCAGAGAGGTGCAGACATTACAATGTGCGCAGGTATATCAGAGACCGGTCTGGTGGTATACATCCCAACAGTTGGGCCATATAACTCTGAGAAGCTTATTGCGTTCCTTGATGAGCTTTACAGAGCACTTCTGGAGTCTGAAGGGAGAGAAGATGCTACAGTCACAGCTCAGCATTATGCTGTCATATGGGACAATGTTCCTTTCCATCACACAGCTGCCGTGAGGGACTGGTTTGTCGCTCATCCACACATCGCAATGGAATTCCTACCCCCATATTCTCCATTCCTCAATCCAATTGAAGAATTCTTTTCTGCATGGCGATGGAAAGTCTATGATCCGCATCCATATGAGGAACGGCCATTTTTTTCCTACAATGTATTGCCAGGGAAAATATTGTTTGCGATGTTGATGAAAACATGTGGCCTGATTTCAGAGATCGAAGAGATCAGGCAGATTAAATCGCACTGCTTTTTTTTTTTTATCACATGGCAAATTTATTTTCTTGATATTCGTGTTGCATAAACAGCCAATAAACCCACTTTACCTGCAGAGAAGACGTGTGTTCTCATTTTAATATGTTGTTTCTCCCTCTGTGTGCACTGATTTTACTGCAGTGAGTGATTATTTTGTCTGAGTGTGTTCACTGATTGCTTGTATGCGTCTCCTGTTTGACCGATGAGAGTTATGCAATTTTGCAAGAGCTATTTAGTGTTTTGATTCACGTAGAGGGTTTTGCAGGGAAAATGGGGAGTTCTGCCAGATTTGTTAGTGTTATGCAGGCTGCATTGGCTGATTTGAGAACGTGGTTATTGTTCTGAAAAGTAGTTAAGCGCCTAAGAAACTGTAATAACACTGAAACTTGCTGAAAAATCCTTCAGGCCTCTAAGAATGAGGTTAAAGGTTACGCAGCTTTGTTGTATAATGTGTCGCATTGACGTAAATGATGGGATCAGCCCCTGACAGAGCTCTTTGTTTGCTGTAGGATTGGTTGTGTGGCTTCTAAGCCGCTGTGACAGAATGGGGCTCTGTGACAGTCCCATACTAGATTATTTGTCCCTTTTAAAGTTGTGACATTTCCCTAAAATGGTCCTCCTCCTCTCTGTTTTTTCCCCAGGATCAGCGATGGTCCCATGAGGGACTGCGAGAAGGATGTACGCAACAAGACCACCATGCGCTTCCACCCCGAGTCGACGCAACATGACCCCACTGCTAGCAACGAACCAGACACCCTCATGGTGGTCATACCCTTCAAGCCAATAGACCTGATCTGGCTTAGGAAAATCCTGTTTGATGAGAAGAGGTCCAGTCAAAAACAAATGTGAGCACTTCTCGAATGGAGAGAATGTAACCTCAAGCATTACACCCAACAACAGTCAGACACTAAAAAGCCAAATTTTTGTGGCCATATATTTAAACATATTGGGTTCAGAAGGAAAGAAAACTGAAATTCTCCTTCACAGGTTTCCAAATGTCGGATGTGAGCTGAATCATTTATAGGTTGGGATGATCTTGTTAACAGTTTAAGTTGCCAATTGATGGATTTGGCAAAACTGTAATAAACCCACTTTTCCAGAAGCATCCTCCTCTTTGTAATCAATGCATTCAGCCTTATGTGTCTGGCACCAAAATAACTGCTGTAATTCCATTTTTCGTTTGAATTGCTACCTGTACAGTACTGTGCAAAATTCTTAGGCAGCCAAAGAAAATGATGTTTAAATGATCGTTTTGTTCCTGTAAAACTATGATGTTATGCCTGATGAAGTGTGTTAGCTTAAGCCATTTCAAAACCTCTGCTGAAGGGGGGGGGGGGGGGGGGGGGGGGGGGGGGGGGGGAGGTGCCGGTGGGTGGCGCAATGGTAGGGGAAACACTGATATATATATATCTGTGTCTGTGTGTGTATTATATGTATATTTCAATACATAAATATTGAAATGAGCATGTGATTATGTTTCTGGCAGTATTAGATAAGCATATCTCCATACTCCATCCATCCATACTCCATCTTGCGATAATGTTTGGTTTGTGATGTGTATTTTTTCCCCAGAATTCTGTTCATGATGTCTCCTTCGCGGCAAAGGCTTTGAAGAGACTGGAGGACTCTGGTGCGATCCTCACTGATAGATGTGTTCCAGGCTCCCACCACGGACTAGGAGACATATGTAATGATGATGCTTTTTATGAAATGATGTTTTTTTGCCCTTTGCAAAAATATGAGGGCTGATACATTGGGATGTGTGTCCAATCATGCTCTGCTTTGAGACACACAAAGCGGGGGGTTGTGGACTGTATATGGTTTTATTTAATTTATGAAGCAGGTTGAAGTTTTATTCTATTCATCTAATGGCAGTTTAAATTCCTCTGGGTTACACTGGGACAAGCACAGAATCACGACCGCCGCCATATGGCCGATTAGGGGTGCCGTTTGAGATTCTGAGTCCCGTGAAAGCATATCATACCCCCACCCAAACCAATCCAATTATGTTCCACATTTTAGGGCTCATTTCAACTTTCTTGAAGGACCCTTCTATGATCCATGAAGCTATTTCCATTCCCTACTTTCTTGCAATAATTTGTTGCTTCCATCCTAGAAACTAAAAACAAAAAAACTGTTTTCCTACAGACATAAGCAGTTATTTAGCTGCCAAAGCTCCACAAATGGATTAAGCAACATAATCCGTCATTTGGACACGTGAGTGAAAACCGAGACAAGATTCGCACTAGATACCAAGCCTCATACCAAGCCACATAATCATACCAAGATAACGTGACGTTCGCAGCCAAACCCTGTCATTTACCTCTGCGTGGCTTTGTTCAGCCAAAATCTCTAATTATTATTCTTAGTTTTTAAGCACTTGGGTATTCTATGCAATTAACTTAATAAAAAAAAACGGAGCCCCTTAGGCCATGGTAATTAGTAGCCAATTTCGTGCTATCGAGTTACCAATTCGTGCTTTCGAGAGAACGATTTACTAACGCGAGCGCACGAATTACTACGAGATATTTTTCTACCGTGGCACATAAGGAGTCCAGTACAGTTAGACGAAAATAATATCAAGTTTAGTCAATTTCTTGCATGAGCGTTGGGGTGTACTACTAAGCGCGCTCTGCATACCCGGAGTTAACAGGACCTGAGTTAAGCCTGTAAACCCGTTTCGCGGTACATCTCTCAGAACGAAGGACCAGTGCCTACTGCCGACCATAATGAACTTATTACTCGGTTAGGTTTCAATGAAATTAGCTTGGTGGACTCGGGTACTTTGGTGTGGAGTCTGATCTCTGTTCAAGAGTGTTATAGAATAGCTAGATAAACATATGGATATATTTTTATGTAGGTTGAACAAAACGATTAGCATTTGGGCCAGTACTGCGAGACAGAATTAACAAGCGAAGCTTCCAGTTGCAGCCACAAGAGGGACACGAAAGACAACGCAAGCCACAGAAATAGTCTCCAAGTAGGGGCGTGGCTAGAAATTTTGGCCCTCTTGACGTAAGATATACGGGACCCCACCCCGTGTCCCCACAGTTTAATTTGCGGCGGGGCGGTATGGTACGAATTTACGTATTCAAGAGCCCCTGTAACGTGCTGTCCCTGCCCCTACTGTTGCTTTATATTTAAGAATGGAACGCATGGGAAAGTCAGTATGATTAATATAATTAAATTGACATCAAGTGTAAACATAAGCGTCAACATAAACGTCAAAAAATAAATGTAAACATACGTCGGGGCGTGTCAAGAGTGAATAAATCATACAGAATGAATTAATGAAAAGAGTCATGATTTTCATCTCCCGTTCTAGCTAACTGTCTAACAGGGGGTAACATGTCCCATTATGGGAGCGTCCCGTGCCGACAGCTGTTGCCATGGCGACAAACTGGACGTTGTCGATGGCGCGCGCTGAAACACGCCAGTCTCTGACGCCGATGTTTCCTGGCTTCAGAGCAAGAAGAGAAGGGGATAGTTTAAAACTGGCAGACACTGGTACATTTTTATTTACTTAATGAGAATACATACATCTCTGACAACAGCCCTGGAAAAAAATGACCACAGCAAAATATTTGGTTTAACTCATTTCTCAATTTATGGGTATGCTTAATTCTGTGTAAGATATACATTGTTTTTTTTTTGTAAACTCCAACCTGGCTCTTCTCTGTTTCTCATTAATGAATCGCTTCTTCGTTGCTTTGTGGGATTTCAGTCCTGCTTCTAGGAGCCTGATACAACCTGTCCTAGCAGTGCACTTCACACCTGCACTTAATGTTTCCCATTCCTTTGAAGATCACTTGATGTCATCCTATGATTGATGAGAACTGTGTCAGATAAGTTAACGGTTATCTCTGGCGTCAGAAAGTTGCTTCCGCCTTTTACCTGGCTGTTTTTTGGTCGTCCCGATTATCTCCTGCTTCATCTTGTTGTTGTGTACTGCTCTCTTAAAAACTTTGAACCTGGAAACAACCTGCTGTTCAGTGTAGCCTTCTGCCAGCAGAACCACGATTATACCAGGATTTAAAAATGTACATTTTTTCAGAGCTCTAGGGCTGTATGTCTCTCAGGTGTAAAGTAACTACCACTATTACTATGATTGTTGTTGCTGCTGTTGTTATTATTGTTATAGTTTGATGTTTGTAAATCGATGTTTTGTTTCCTACTGGAAAAAAAAAACATTTTGCTAATGCGTGGCATCAAACTCATGAAGTTTCTTTGCTTTTTCTGAATAAAAAGAAAATATGCAACTCAGATTTCCTTCTTGTGCTGCACTATATATCTTATAATGAATTTTAAAGGATGAGTTTCTTTTTGTAATAACACTTGATTTAAGTGTGCTATACTTTTTAGGCAAGTAGGGCTACTTTTGAAACCGGCCGGGGGCCTCATATGTATATATGGTGCTTACGCACAAAAATGCTTCCGCGCTCGCATCCAGATGCATGAAAACTAAACTTGGCGTAACTCTACGCACATTTGGTAGCTGCTCGGTCAAATCGGTGCTACTGTGGTGTGGTTTCCCTTTCTTTTGTATAGGCCTATTCGCATTCATGATGCAGGCTTCATCAAATACACCGAAATGAATTAAGACGCTTGATTCTGATCTATCTGTAACTATAAATTGGTGGACAGAATGGCCAAACTATTCCAGCTACCATGGCTGCTTTGGCGCTGTTAGAAGGCATCGCAAATGGAAGAATTAGAAGAGACTGCGTATTTATTTATTTATTGATTTATTTATATGCTGATTTCATGTCCCATGATGATGACGGGCTTCTTTAGATTTCCACAAGCTACCCTTTTGGAGCTGTGTGCCAAAATGGGGCCGGCAGGAGGTTTTGGACGTAAACTGGCAGGCTGATCAGGAATTTCTCAGTCATCATTGAGTCGCACCTTGAATGGCAAAGTAATATCTGCTTTTCATCCAGGTAACAAGATTTCCTTACACTGTGGTTGAATAGGCAAACATCAAAGTGCAATTCCCAACAACGTCCGGTTTCCCAAATAGATTCGGAGTGACTGACGCACGTTGCTATAAAGGTAGCTTCAGAGAATGAATTTGCTTATGTAAATAGAAAGCATTTACATTCTACTAATGTGTGAATTATCCGTGATGCGAAAATCAAATGCGTCTCAGTAGCATCTCTATTCTGAGAAATAGTAGAGCTGGGAAAAAGTTGCACACGGCGGTCATCCATGGTAACGCAGAACCGACATTCATCACTGAACACGGTACGACGCCACTCGTCATCAGTCCATGCCTCCCGGTTACGGCACCGCGCCAAACGCAGCCGTCTCTGCGCTGCTGTTAACGGCAGCCTGCGCATGGGACGGTGAACCCGTAGTCCGGCTGATACCATGCAGTCGTCGAGACACAGTGTTCGATGACACGGGATGTTGTGGAGTCCAATACCTGTGTCCGGATGGTATGGGGGTTCTGTAATGCTTGGCGCACAGTACGACGATCCTCCTTTGGTGTGGTCTGTCTTGGGCGACTGGAACCTTTATGACGTGTCTGGGTGCCCTCACCTGCCCATTGGCTCCAATATCGGGCGACTGTGACATCTGCATGCCCCACATGCCGGGCATCTGTACGATACGACCAGCCAGCCTCATGCAAACCCACAATGCGAGCCCTGTCAAACTCCCTCACGTGCTGGTAATGCTGTCTAATGCGTCTACGAGGCGTCCTCTGTGTCTGGTGACTAGACCAGCCAGCTCCTTGCAAGTCACATCATTTACATACCCGTCACTGCTCTACACGTGAACCAAATTACATCCAAATTGGACCATTATTTCTAGGAACTTAACTTCTTTTGTCACTGAGTGTATTTACATTTTAACAGTGTAGTGCGAGACAGCACTCATGAAATATTACAAGTGTAGTTTGATTTGAGATTTGAGTCGGCTTATATATTTTACTATTGAAAAGTCCTTAAGGAATTATTATGGCTCATTATCACAAATGAAACCGGTATGATAAAGTAGATGTATTTGTGTGATACGTGCTATGAGGTGAAATTAAATGTACGAGTTATGACTTACAAGCACAATACATAATTACATGTGTAATGATGCCACTTACATCTTCCCTACTATATAGCTTCAGTTCACCATCTCCACCTGGGTCGCCAATTTTCTCTAAAATGTTCGTACGCATGGCTCAAAGTTTCTGTATGGATAAGCACATTCTGCTGTACTTTTTCAGTATTGTGAATATTGAGGAGTTTTTCTAGCGCTGTTGTTGATGCACCCGAATGACTGATTTTGACAGTTCACCTTATACTATGCAGCAACCAACAACCTTGTTAAAAGACATCGATTCTGCAATGCTTATGAGAACATTGTAAATAACAGATTCCCAGGAGAGTCCATCGTTCACTTATTCTGCATGAACCTGGTCGAACCCAGGAATACGTAACGTCCACGCAGGGGCGTAAGAAGCATTTTGAATGTGGGGGGGCACATTGGTGGGGGGTCTGGGGACCCTCCCCCAGAGATTTTTTAATGAATTAGATGCCATTTCCTGCAAAACCCGGAGTGGTCTTTCAGTTCTATGTGTATTCTCATATCCATCAAGTGGAATGCATTCTTTCGCGAAGCAATAGAAACAGTGCTGGGCGAACTAATATTTTGTATTAAATGTGGGGGGGTCTAAACGAATAATTATGAAATCTTGTAACTCTAAATATGCGGTTTTGATGAGCTATTGGGAATTTTCATTAGGACTATTTAATTGGGCATGGCAAGTTGCAAAAAAAAACAATCTGGTTGAGACATGTTTGACACATGAACGTCAATTTTTTTTGTTGGGTTTATTTATTTTTCCCCAATATGTCCATTGGGTGGCGCTGTACTGCGAATTCCAAACCACCTGACAAAGTTCTATTGGACGGTTTTACATCGCCTCACAAGGATTCTGCATTCTATAGTTTACACCGGACTATTATACTCCAGCGTTTCGGATCCTGTATGTAAGTATTAACTGTTGAACTGTTTCGTTTTGTTTATAGTATATAATTTAAAAAAATGAAACTGTTCGTTGCTGGTATTTTACTTCCATCGTCTTATTCATGATGAGGATAACTAGGCTATTACAACTTATAACTTTTATGTATAAACAAAACATAACATAGTATTTAGGCATTTTGCTTTGTTATTACAATTATAATATTCATACAAAAGTTACGAATTATATGTTTAAAATATTTTACAAATGGGGAAATTTACAGTTGTAATTGTTGTGACTCAAACCTGCAACCTACTGGATGTAAATTTATTAATCAATACAACGGTCCCGTGAAGGCGGCATTACTGCTCGCACGTTACACTTATTTTTGGACATTTTTATAACTGAAAGTATTTAAAACAAACAAGCAATGTGACAATCAGATAGAAGTTGATATGGCATGACTTTATATAGATAGACAGATAGTGTTGAGTTGAATTCATATTTAGTTAGAAAATAAATTACAGTAATGGCTAAGTGGAATTACGCCAAGTGATGTCTGACTCATTTGTGTATGTATGTATCATATCCTGCTTACCTAGGAGACTGGTTTTTAAAAAATGATAAGAGTGAGATACTGGACTGCAAGCATCCTGCCTTGGTTCCTTCTCATTGGAAATTGGAACTTCTGCTTGGGTATAAACAGATTGACAAGTAAGAACCATTTAACACTGCATGTAAACCCGTTCTGCTTTTTTAAAATAATAATAATAATAATACTAATAAAGAAATCCAGAGATTTTTTCCAGCATGACTTGTCATCCTATAACATACCAGGTATGCTTTAAATGAAAGGGCTATAGTCTACACTCCTGTCAAAATAAAGAGAACTGACGACAGATTTCTGGCTCCGGTGTCCATGCCCTTTGCCGCAAATGATGTAATAATAGATTGCCTTGAGGCGACTGTGTTGTGAAAGGCGCTATATAAAACATATGTAAAATGAATTGAATGAAATGGTAGCATCACTGTGCAGCCAAGGAGCTGTGGGGCGGGTCCCTTTTGGCACTGCTAATCCATACGGTCATTGCTGTCGTCCTGCAGTCAATCCTCCGGCTGATTTGCGTATAACAGACCCAGGCCACCTGGGCCGGCTGCGCATAGGATGGGCACTGCCCCCCGCGTTGAAGAACGTCGCCCGCTGCTCCGTCCGCTTCCAGCTTCAGTATTTCAACACCTACCAGGACAGGTGGACGGTAAGCACACCTGGCAGCCGCGTTCCTGGACGGCCTTTTTAATTCCTCGCACTTAAGTCTTCTCCTTGTTCATTCCCAGCTGGCCACGGCCTTTTTAATTCCTCGCACATAAGTCTTCTCCTTGTTCGTTCCCAGCCGGTCATGCTTATACTTAGCAATGTGATTCATCTAATTATGGTCCTCTGGGTTACGTCAGCTGAGATGGCTTTGGGCACTGAGGATATACTGTACGTAGCTGAGTTGGAGAATACCCGCCTTGCGTGTGAGATCATCAGTTACACCTTGGTTTCTCGATTCTGCATTTTTAGCAATCTGTGATACTGTGGGGTAGAACACTGATTGAAATGTCTCTGGTTTGAGTCTCATGATTGACAGAGTAAAATTATGCCGTACTTGCTCCAGGGACTGGTTGACATTGCTTTCTTTAAAGAAAAAAAAAGCATCTCTAAAATAAGACGTAATGCATCATCTTGGCAATCGGTTGATGTGGTGATGAGAAATCGTGAGTGGTTTGTAAAAGCCTGACAGCTACACCGTTGCCTGCAGCCTGAATTGATGCCAGTGTGGCGATTTATAGAAGAAATTCCATGGTGCGTTCTTAAATTCAGGTTTGGAACAGCTCATGCGGCTGGAGAGACATCATGAAGAAAATCTTCGAATGCTCCACCAATCAGTGTGACAGAAAACAGGCTGCGCTGAGGGGTGGGATTTAGCCTCTCCTCTCCTGTGATGTCCTGTAGCGTATTTTGTTGCTATAAATAGAGGGCTGTGAACATTGAGTAATGAAGTCTGTTGGCAGACATGACCTTGGCTTCTTCACTCTTTTCAGTTCAGTCGTTTCTTCATAATTTTAACACAGAAACAATGTTGTTAACAGACTTACTGACTTGGCAAAAGCATTAACTGGCCAGGCTTCACGTACGCTTGATGGCTTTTTCCAAGTCACAGAAACAGCAGAAAGTCAGAGACAGGTTGTGAAAAACAGAGCATTGCTCATTTTGAAGCACTACCTTACTGGATAGATTCATTGTGCAGTATCTGAAAGATTCCGTTTCTGTTACGTCCTTAAAATAAAAAAATGAACGTGCTGTTTAAGAATGAGTGCGTCACACAGCCTCTGATTCCCGCTATCTTGCTTTCTCTGGAATGTTGTGCAAACCCTCAGTCATGATTTTGGATTTTGCAAGTTTTTCATTAAGCTGAGAATTGAAAGAATTCCTTCAGATGTTTTTAACTACTGTACCCATTCTCACCCACTGTATTCATTTGTTGGACTTTGAACAATAAAGTTACTTATAAAAGTATGATTTTGCATCCAGAGCTTTGGGTCCCGCCTCTTTTTCAGTCACTTAGGCTTGATTGGGCTGTTATGAATTAAGCTCGGGGGCATCATTCAGAATTCAGGCTTATGTGACACATATCACTTTGTGGCTAAATGAGGGATTCCCTGCCGTTTCTTCCAGACTATCAGGACAACTCACCGGAGCTTTCATGCCCAGTTTGACCTTGGAAAGGAGGTGCAAGTGAAGGTGTTCACGTTACTTAGGGGGCCTTGCACCAACAACTCAGAGCTCCTAAGCCCACCTGCCGAGTTGGTCCTGAAGCCTTCCGGTGGAGGTAAGACCAAGATCTGAGCGTGAGCTATTGCACAAAAGGGCCACTAGGGGGAGTCCTGTAGGATCTGCAATAATCAGGGATGGTACATGGTAACGATCATGAATCACGGCCACATAACGTTCTCAAATTATAAAGACATAAATTTATATTTGCCACAATCCCAGCACAGCACATCACCCAGGCAACCATCATCAGGAGTATTATGGTATGGACAGTGAGGTAGATACATCCATCCATTTATCCTCCCCTCCAATATCTGCGCTCCCAGTGTGCCTGGAGTGCATCCCAGGGTGGGATCACCATGGAAACAGTGACAAATCCGTGCAAATGCTCGAGGATAAGATTCTGCAGAAGCTGCATCTCTCACGAGGACAGTGAAACGAAACAGACCCAGGAGGAGTCACCATGAGGTTCGGTGACCCTCGGCTCGATGCGCACCAAGATCTGGGGCATGACCGGGAGGGAGCCGGCCACAGGGATTCTCTCCCCCTGACCGAGGGCTTTTCCCAGGAAAAGGGAGGAATGCAGATGTGCGAAGACAGTGGGGAAATGTTCTTGATTTAAATTTACTGTGAATTCACCACATTATTAAAAATACCCTTCAAACCAAAGCAGCAACCAATTCTCAGGTTAAATATGTCCAACTTACAGACAACTCCTACTTACGAAGGGACTGCTTTAACACAAATTAAACACAACAAATACATGCACTACTTTGTGACGCTCGTGAAAACATTGCACGGTTTTAACAGTTCGTCAGCTCGATGCACAGTACAGTACCATTTACATATATCATTACTATAAGAACATAAGAAC